AGAGCGTCCAGATGTCTAAGCAAGAAAAGTAACCTTCATGGGTAGGCTGAAATACACCAAATTCACAGTGAACGTCATGAACTACGGCAAGACTGTTTTTCAATCACACCAAAAACATGAGTAAGTATGCACTTCAAGCAACGGGAAGAACTTCCATTAAGCCCTGGATTTTTGCTCCACTGAAAAATTTCCACAAGATCTCTGGGGAGATTTACAAGTCTCAGCTCTTAAAAGATGAGCAAGAGCTTTAGCACCAGGGTGGGAATCCAGAAATTGCAACAGTGGTCTCAGCATTAACCAATTTCATGGCTTGCTGCATCAGCTTCTAGCACTTCATAAGGCTGTTTCCTTGTCGTTATTCACATGTGGTGGTAAATACTGTTGAAATGCATTGTGACAGCTTCTACAGCAGGGTAACAGTTATTTCAGGTCACAGGGTTTAACTTTTTGAAAATAGTTAAAAACAAGCACAAGGAAAGCCTCAGGAACAGTAAAAGCAACAGTTTCAGGAGAAGGAAAAGCATCTCCAAATATAAAACAAGTAAGTGATACAGATTTTTCCAGACAACATTTTCTGAAGACTAGCAGAGAAATAAAAGCAGAACCAAAGTTAAACACCAGACAAGTTACTCTTGCAAGGAGTAACAAAGCCTGACTACTTTTCTCCAACTATATCCAAGAGATGGACTCAGCACATCATGTCATTTAAAAGTCCCCAGCACTATTGAACAAGTCCTGGTAAGATATGTTAGTTACTTTTTTCTGGGCTAGGTTTAGGCATGTTTTCCATGGGGGAAAAAACAAGCTACCTGCGCTGTATAGGAGAAGGAGGAAACAGGACTGAGAAAGACAATGGTGCAGCCACGTACCTGATGAAAAGTGTATTTGAACAGCAGCGCCAGAAATTCAACCACAGGGAACTGGGAGTAGGATTCAATTCTTCGTAGGTGGACGCTCACAAAGAGACGGAGAAAGTCTGTAAACTTCTCAATGTAGCTACACAGGAAAGAAAAGAAAACACAATTGAGAAAACATGAAGCACTCTACAAGGGAAAGCAATTTCATTGAAATAGTGCTAAATTCACTCAAAACCCTTTCATTAAAAAGAAAGTTACAATTAATAGCCAGTAGAACAATTAAAATATAAAGCCCTGCAACAATTACCTACAGGACGGGCAACCCTTCATTCCATTAATACCTGAAACAGCAGAAAAGACAGTCTAGTCAAAAGCAACTTTAATATTCAGATAAATATAACTGAGTTTCATCAGGCCTGCAAATAAGTACAACCCCCCGCCCTAGAGAAATAAGTATTTAATAGCAAGGCTCATCTTACTAATGCACATATAGGGTTAGTCAAATAAACTGTACCACTGAGGAGATTCAGTTGAAAGCAAGAAGTTAATGCAAGAGTTAGCAATACACATGTTAAAAATTTACAACAGGTGGTTGGACAGCCACGTAGTTTAGGGCTGGAAAGGACTGTTTCTTATGCACTGCACATCAACCATCATTCCTAAGTTGCTGTACTGAGCCTGGTATTTTGTGACTGAATTAGACTGTAATTTAAAAAAAGAGGCAAGCCATTTTCCAAAACCCAGAAATAATCAATGCTTGGGATTGCCCGAAGTGAAGATCCAAATAGGAACCCATCACCAAAATTTCAGGGAGTCTCATATGAGTCCACTACTAGAAGGAAAATTAGAGGCCGCAGCAGGTAAGTCGTTACTGTGCAACAAGAACACGCACTGCACGACATGAACTGTGTCAGGGTTAGACACCACCTTCATGTTTATCTATACAGAAAACAATCAAGTATTCCACCATTCCAGATACACGAGCAGAGCATTACAGCACCATACAAATACCAAGAGCTTCAGTGACCCAGTTACAAGGCTGCACACGGAGAAGCCCATCTTCCCCATATGACAAGAGTTCTACAGTATAAAACTATTTCAGGTTTTCTTTTGAAGAAACAAGAGACTAGGTTTAGCAGCAAAGTTGCAGACATGCTTGAACAGGCCGGTCCTATTACACTGTCCTGCTCTCCTTCTGCACACCCCGTTTTGGAGGGGAAAAACTGCTCCTTCTAAACCAGAACTCACTCAAGATTGGAAGCACTACCAGCTCACAAAAAGGTGCATCATCATCAGTTTTTACAAGGCTACAAAAACCACAATGTTTGGAATACGCAAAGAGGTTAGATTTACATTTACTTAGCACTGTCTGTTTGGCAAGACTTACCATCACTAAACAGGTCTTCATTACTGACCAAAAGCTTCAAAAGTAAAGTATTTAGCAAAAACTAAGTAGCCAGACCAAAACATTCCCCCCCCACTTTAAAAAAAAAAAAAAAAAAAGTGCTGATCGGAGATCACTGAAATTATTTGGCACCCTGTTCTGCAAGCCCCAAAGCCTAAGTTGTGACCTCCAAGCAATCGTTTATAACCTTACTAGACATTTCCCATTCCATAAAATATCTTGGAATCTTCAACCTAAAGCCAGCACAAATAGGGAGGTGAAAGACAAGCCAAATGCTCTTTTTCTGGACTAGTCTGGCAGTTACAATCCGTTCAAAACCACACTGACTTTATTATAAAACAGAAGATTAACCACCACAAGAGGCAGGGGAAAGAACAGACTTAGGGCAGGCAAGCTCCAAAGAGGGCAATATACTGAGGCAAGGTAGTTTAAACAGTGCCAGTTTTGTTTGGGACTTTTGTTAGTCCAAGTGAAAAATAATTTCATGTGGTAAGTTCTTTAGTTTTGGAAGTAAAAGCGTATCTATCCCACTAAGCCAACACAGGAAAATCTTCCTGTCTTTTAGGCAAAGCCACTTCCGTGCTGAGGACAGAGTCAGCTCAGAGAAAGCTCTGCTCCTGCAGAAGCCAGTTAGAGTTTTCCAAACAGTCTCCAGAGCATCTTAGTTACATTCCTGTTTCAGATTTTAATAATGAATAAAGAGAGATCTCAATTACAGACATCATTCTCTGTGGATAACACGCATAAGCAGCAGAACATAACGATACAGCAGTATGATCTCTGTAAAGGCCAAGAGAGCTATAGCTCTTGCACGGTCTTGTCAAGGAAGGCTGCTTACTGACGTTTTCCAGAGAAGAAACGAGAGAACTGACTTATACAGGGACTTCCAGATTTCCACGACAGCATTTCTGATATTCAGAATTTTATCACTGGGTCTCTATGCACGTGTCTCATATGCAAAGTCCACAGGTTTCCACTGTACTAGAACATGCCTTGTTTTAGGAAGCTGAGCAATACTGAAGTCAGAGTTAGTCAAAAAGAATGAGCAAGTAGAATTCCTTGTTAAAAAAGTCAAAATGAATCTACATGTATTATCCCAAAGTTACAATGTATCTAAAAGATATGGAAAAGGGGAATTCTAGAGAAGAAACAAACATGCAAGCCTTCTCCACAAACGGGCCCACAGTTTGTTCCTGGGGTTTACGGTTTACTCCTGGGTGGCTACCAAAGTGGTTTTTTTTGTTGTTTTTTAAAAAGTCTCAATTCTTGCTGATGCATCTGGGAACAAATATTTTATACAGCAGCACCACACTCATTTGTTTCCATCACCAAGCATCCGTAACAAGATGCTGGGCACATTCGCACAGTTGCAATGCATTTGCCAACATTAGCGTCAGCCTGCCTGCCTTCCCAACGCAAACGCGTGCCAGCAGGCCTGCAAAGAAAGGCAACATCAAGTCATCACCTCTTTCACCACCCTGTCAACACACGGACTCAACCACTCAACACAACAGCAAGACAAGTCTCCCCTTCTCTTCTACAAGTAGGAACATCTCATATTAAAGAGTCGAGCTGTTTTAAGCAACGAGCATGGTAGTAACTTTCTGAAAAACAGCGAAAAGAATACGCAGCTCCCAAGATGCTGCTAATCCCCCTGCTACCTCCAGTCAACAAGCATGCAAGAGAGCTGCTGAGGTGGAGTCATTCACCACCGCTCTGAACAGAGCTCCCCAAGCTATCTTCCAGTGTTGTTCAAAAAAAAAAAGTAAAAATTAAAAAAGCAATCAGGAATTGTCACGTCTCTGAAGAGTACACAATTACTTCTGTTCTCTCTCAAGTCATGACCTGCAGAATATCTACCCACTCTTTATAAGTCTGAGTTTAAGACAGAGAAGGCAGATACCAACCAGAAAAGGGAATACTGCAATTCCTTTACCTCACTGTGCCTCTTCTGTTGCTCTGTTACAACTGAATGAAGGGCAGGTTCAGCTCTTGTGCCACCTCAGACCTGCAGTCAAACAGTGACGAACGGGGGGGAAGGGGAGGAAGAGGACAGGAAAGAATACAAACCTGTGCCACCACGGTCACTTAGCAAACTCAGCCCCTTGCCAGCACCTTACCTTTGTGCACCTACCTTTCTGCCTGGCTCCACCAGCAAAGAACTCTGAAAAAAAGGTGATTAGACACACCATGCATGACCACAAATTAATAAAGACAGTCCTTCAGAAAGCAAGAGGCCCTAGCACAGCTACTTAGCTGTTCAGTTTATCTTACCTTTCATCCAGTTCCTCTAGCCGGCTCTTCACTGTATGGGCATTATTCTCCTTGGTTATCTTCTGGAGGAGGTAGAAGGTCTGTTGGAACATCCGTAGCAAATACTCCTCAAACTCCATAGGCACGCAGTTCTTAGACATCAGTTCATTGATGCAAGACATAGCCAAGACGCCAAGTCGGCCACGCTCCTGTCCCAGTACTGAGTTCTGGCTGCTGCCATTGACAGAAGACATCTTCCTAACCCGAGTGTCACAGCCAAAGCGAGCAAAGTGGAAAATGGTGGTGAGGAGCGAAGGGGTGATGCTAGTGGACAAAGGGATCCAGCTGAAGAGGTGTGCCAGGCACTCCAGTGCCAGGGAACATATATATTCACTCTCTGTATCAAGGATAGGGATTGGCTGGTTCAATAATTTGGCTGCACTGGGACTCTGCAACAGGCTACTTAACAGGTCACCTAGGAAACAAAGCACACATACCTGCATTACAAATCAAGGCAAGCACCTTCAGATAACGCATTTGTAAGCTCCGGCTACATATCAAAAGCCATTTGGAGCCTCTGCCATTGAGCAAGTTAGCGTACAAATATATGCCCAAGATGAACATAGGATTAACAGCTTTGCAAAATAACACGGGAGTCCTCCTCTTAACCTAGTGATTTTGTATTCCAAAGCTTTCCTAAATTTTTTGCTCGGATTTCACATCAGATCAGACAAACTGCTGGGAGGGGTTATTTCAAACAAACAAATACTTAAGTGGCAGCTCAGTACTGCCCTTCTAGCCTTACTGACATACACATGCAGTGTTTTGGAAAAGGTGATAATAGCGATTTCACAGGGTGTATTTTAGGGATTTATTATAAAACTCATTCCCCTCATGAAGCTGAGCATCCTTGATGTAAGCTTGCAAAAATTCTCTGGTGCATCCATACTAGAATGAAACTTGGCCAAGTCGGTTTTGCTTGCACACGACAGCTCGTGGATTATATGAGAGAACGTACGGAGGCAGACCAAAGGCCAGTACCTTCTCTCAGAGTGACCAAAAGCTTACCACAAGCACATATCGTATTTCTCAGCCTACAACCATTTGAAGTACAGGGGTTTCCTGAATCTGATGGAGCTTAAAGAATTCCTCACAGCTCGACATGGTTCATCTTCCACGATTTTGTCCAGCCTCCCATTGAACCCACATAAACTTTCAGTATTCACAACATCCCGTGACAGAGTTCCACAGCTTAACTATAGGTCGAGTGAAGAACTACCCTGTTTTGTTTTGAGCCTGTCATCTGCTGGTTTCATTTCTTTCTTTCTTGTAAAACAAAGAAACAGCTGGGGGGGGAAGGGGAGGAAGGCCTTCCATTCACCTTCGTCATGTCACTCAATTGATAGCTCTGTCTTGCAGCTCCTTCCCCTCAATTTCTTGTTGAGGGTGACAAGTACTAGCTGTCTTGTTCCTTACATGGAAGCCATTCAAGACCCTTAATCATCTTCACTGCTGTTCCACAAAACTTTTGATTCTGCTCTATCCTTTTTGATAGGGGAGGACCAGAACCGCACCCGCTACTCAACAATCTCACGCAGCACCACGGTAGTGCTCCGTTCTAGTTTGCTACTGACCGTTAAGCTTTCACAGAATTATCTAGCGTAACACTAAGTTGATCCTGCGTAGTAAAGGTCAGCTCACGGCCCGTGATTTGGCATGAGATGAGTGTTGCTCCTCCTCGCCAAAAGCGCCTTACGCTTTTATTGGTATTGCATTTCACCTGCCATTTGCCCAGTCAAGAGACTTTCAAGATCTCCCTGCAAGTCTTCAGTCAGCCCTCTTTTTACTATTCTGACCATCTTGGTGCCATTAGCAAACCTTGTCTCACTGCAGACCCCTTTTCAAAGGTCTTTTATGAGTATGCTCATCAGCACAGGCCCCAGCAGTGCTCCACTGGTGACCTCCCCGCCATTGCAAGGACGGACCATTTCCACTCATCCTTCACCTCCTACCTTTTCGCCCATTGATCAGTGCAGAGACTCTCCCCTTATCCCGTGATGGCCTTGCCTTCCCAGAGGCTTTTAGTAAGAAGCCTTGTTGAAAGCTTTACAGAAATCCAAGCAGATGCTACCAACTAGACTGCCTGCTAACTCACAGGCCTCCACAGGCCACAAGCTGAAAATCGATTCACCTTCTCCATGTCATTCAATATAATTTTCTCTCCTGAGAATGAGTAACACCTTCACCTTTAAAAATCCACGAGCACTCACCACAGTAGAGAACTTACAGTTCTCCAGAAGATATCTGAGTACATTTATTGAAAGTGAAGTGACTCAACACAGTAGCAGTATGAGAAAAAGAGATATTATTTACTGAGCTGCTTCCAAAGCGCTCAGAAGTGTGAATGATGAACAGATTCCTTTTAAGCTTTCAGTTTCAATTAAGATAAATGTCTTGCATCACTAAATTCAGAACTGCCTGCCAACCTTAGGGTTGATTCTTTCCCCTTTCCTCCACCCCCAAAAGCTTTTTCATGTATCATGTTACTTCAGCTGAGTTAGTTAACTCTGCACTTCAAGTCTAAATATCAACGGGGTCCCCATCATTACATTCACAAGCATGCTGCAATTCAAGAGCTGCTTGCATTGGGCTTTTTACAAAAGTAGATACGCTTCTATGTATTTCAAATATCCAGGCCAGTAAATTCCACAAAATCAGACAATGAAGTTAAGATTCTTATCTTTTAGTACATCAGCCTCAGCAAGAGATTGTAAATTAAGCCCTTGTAATTCGTAGCACTTGGTCTGAATAGCAATCTCGCAACCAATTAAATCACTGAAGCTCAGCGTTTAAGGGATTTTAAGTTATATTTGTTATCTTTGTAAACAGGTAATAAATTTACAGGTACAATTGCATTCATGCACAAGGAGAAAACTCTTGGAGGGGGCTGGGATCCTGTTAGTTTTGCAGGAGTAAGAAGCAGCAAACGTTTACTTCTGTTACTCATTTGTTTACCATGCATCAGTGAATATGCCAAAAGGAAGGTATTCGTCAAGTAAAGAGATAAACCATGCAAAGAAAACATTTTGAGCCTGAGAGATTAGTGACAAGTAAATTCTACACTGATCCAGTAACTCAAGTGTTTCCCAATACAGGACAACTGTTGTTTCCCAATACAACAACAACAGTTCCTTTGCTCGCGTGGTATAAGAAATGAGTTTAGCATAGTCTTTAAATGTCATTTAAAAACTACACAGGACTCGCAAGTAACTTCTTCACTTTGTTTCTCTGTGCAAAAAAAGGAAGCACTATAGATTTACCAAGTCCCTAAAGAGAGTTTGGCTCTAACAGAAGATATTAAAGACTTATAGGGACTCAAAAGCTTGTTTTGCCTTTTGGAACACCATTAATTTCAACTGAAGGACAGAGAAACAATTAACATATACATTGTAGACTATCACTGAACCCATGTTTCCCGCAGAGTTCACCTTCCAAACATGCATTCATTTCCGTCTGCAAATAAACCCTGAAAAGCACTCCCAAAGCCACTACAGTCACCCAACTGCTACTGATTGTTTGTCTGTCTTTAAACTCCAGTTTAGGGAGTCTAGAATGCATTTTTGGTTCTAAATGTTAGCATTCCTACTGGTACTCTTATTCCATTCCGTGAACCTTAATACCCATCAGATCAAACAGTGACCCAGAGGACATTTAGTTAACAAAAATCAAAACAGAAAAAGTCCATCACAAAATACAGAAAGTGAGCAATCAATGGACAGAAGCGTGAAGCACTCAACGCCTATTTTGGACTTCAGGAAATTGAAGTGCAGCTAGTTAGTTTTAATAAGGAGACAGCAGTCAAGACATCACAGAAAAAATAAAAAAAAGAGTTTCAAATAAAAAAATTTTCATAGGCAGAAACTGATGAAATTCAGCCTGGCATTTCTAAAGGAACCATCAGTGCAGTCTGAATTACTAGAAACTATCTTGAAAATAGACTATGTGAGAAGTCTTTCTTTTGTTGCTGTTTAAAAGAGGGAGATGAGGAAGACCCAGAGGATTTTGAACCTGTAGGAAATTCAGCACATGCTCACTTTGAGAAATATTATCTACATAAAGTTACCAGCAGTTGAATGCACAGATGAGGAGAAACTGTCTCAACACAAGTAACATCCAGTGATTTGCTGAGGAACTGAAAGGTCATTTCAAATGGGCTTCAACTGAGAATGATCCCAGACTTTGTTCCATTGAATGTTTTTTATTACAAATCCAGACAACAACACAGAGAATTTGTGAATTATCCCAGTTTAAGTTATTAGCACTCCAAAACTCACACTGAATGAGAATTCTTAAAATTGCTCTCCAAGGTGCAGTACCGCGTTCTGTAGGCATGACCTTGAATTTGACTGTATCAAATAACACTCTGCTAGAGTGCGTTTGGCTTACCAAGCAATTCAAGCTGTTTTGTACAAATACAGCATTATTGACCACTGAGTCACTTGCTACCAACAGTGTTGAAACTAGCATTAATCAGCTTTTTGCCTTGGAAGACAATTTTCTTTAATGTCATATCACAGTATGGTGAAGCACTTGCTGGCAGGGTGGGG